CCTCGAGAGGAGAGCTTTGCACTGCATGACAGGCAGGCCAAGAGCATGAGGACAACACAGCAGGTTTATGAAGAGTTGGGAAGGTAAAAGAGGATATTTTTGTGAGTTGAGCAACGACTTGCTATTGTTTTCTTCTGAGTGCTGGAAAGGGGAGATGCAACTGTTTGACCAACTGTGAGGAAGAGCATCAGTTTGAAGGGACAGTATATGCTGTGGAGTAAAGTTGTTTCCCTTCAACTTTAGTTACCTTTGATCTTCTTAGACCCCATTACTCGTAGGTAAGGGAAATCAGTTCTTTTCTCATAGATGGTTTCTGTTGGAACAAGGAGAGATCAAGAGAAGCAGGACAAAACTTCATCATGTCAGAGAAGCATCCTCCCACACCATGATTAAATGAACTCCACTTGTGGAGTCTCCTTCTCTGGAGGACTTCTAAACCCACCTGGATGCCACAAAATCTGTCTGTGGGACGAGGAAAAGTCTGGTACTGAAGCCAGTAAATCATAACTTCAAACTGATGTTCAAACCTATGCCTGCAAGGAGATGATGGGCACCAAACACTGCTCCTCAGCTTGAAAAAAAGAGAAGAAAAGGGCATTTGCCCTAGGTAACTCAATCACTTCAATCCATTTTGTACTACTTGCACCTATTCCTTGCACAAGGACTTATGATATTTACCAAAATCAGAATGCTGTCAGGAATTCTGAACAATTGTTCCAGCTTAGTTCAGATAGAGAGTGAATAAATGTTGTTACGATCTGCTGATCTGGTTACCTCAGTTTGTGCTTTATTAAGTGGACCACACGTGTTTTTTTTGGCTATCAGCTTATTATACATGATTTCACTAATAAATAGCGAGGATAAGATCATAGTAAGATGATCTCTAATGTGGACCGAAAAGCAGTGGAGAGAAATGGAGTGTTAGCATTGTTTGCAAGAAGATTAATGCCCCATGAAATGGAAAGGGATTTCTGAGCTTTAAACAACATTTTTTGTGGTCGCTACCTCCTGGAACATCACAAAAGAGCTCTTGCCATTGACACCTGAAGGGTTTTGAGTTGTCTCATCAGCTTTTCTCAAGTAGGGACAGCAAAGACAGATGCAAATTTGCTTGGCAAACTCTTCTTTCTTCCCCTTCTCATTTCAAAGTGGTTTCGTTAATAATGCCCAATAATCTCACTGCACAATAGCATTCGTGCAACGTGAATAAGAGAGATGAAGCACGCAGAAGTAGCAGCTACAAAGTGAAGGCTGAAAGTTGAGCTCCAGCTGCATCCCCAAGTCATGCTAGAACATGTGTGATGAGGCAGGGGATATGTGTGTGACATCTAGGCATCTTTCCATGAGCCTACAACAGGTACCTGATGAACACACCCCAAAATGAGAGTTTTCTCCTTTTCTATGCCTTCTTTAGCACTGACATTTCACTAGCCTTGGTGCAATCACGATGAAATCCTTCTCTGGAGTCTGACTCCAAGAGCAAAACCCAAATTTGCCCAATGTGTCGTGCAAAAGCCCTGTGTTCACAATGAAGTCCCGCTCCAAGCTCTCCTCACATCATACTTGCCAGATAAGCAAAATTCTTAGCTGTAGGATTGCAATATACTATATAACTAACTTCCATAGAGGCTTCAGCTTGTAACTCTGTCTTTAAAAACGTATTTTACAGCTCAAAATCCTTGATTTCCAGGAACTCATGAATAGAGGAGATATATTGTTCTTGGTAACTAAATAATATTATTAAAATGATTATGAATCCTGCAAAAATTATTCCTGTCTACCTAATTTAATCATATAACAATGACTATTATTAACTTGTCTTCTGCTGCTGCCATTTGAGATTATGGTCTTGGATGCTGGGTAGCTATTATATGATTCAGTTATTGTAAATGTGCATTGCTTCTAAGTGCTCCAGCGTGTATCCTTCAGTTAGCTGCCTGAATTCACTCATTCCAGGACAATATGGTGAAACTGAAGAAGAAAATGAGGATTTCGGGGAACTAAAGAAAAATTAAGGCATGATGTCTTCGTATGGATTTGGGTCTCATGGCTGAATTTTTCTATCTATTGATATGAGAGATCTCAATGAAGTGTTTCTTATGATTCACAATAGTACAGCTCTGTGTGGATTCTCTAGTGTCTACGAAAGTGTTGAGCTCCTCGGCATCTTGGTCGCCTCTGTTTGGCTATAAGGAATGCTATATGTTTTAAACCTACAGTTTTCAATCAACTTTTGTTCCTTGCCCTCAGGCTCTGTCCTATTCATCCTCAGCTGCTGAGAGAAGGTGGCAAAACCCTGTCTGTTCCCATCCCCAGACTTTGTGCTCAAGCTTCCAGTCTTCACCTGAAAATGTGCAATATTGAACAGATAGCTCTCCCTGAATAGCTTGACCATTCGATCTCCTCCTCCACCCACAGCCTAACAGAATAGGCTTCATTTCCTTAGGAAACTCACTTACAGACCAAAATCCCCTACCTGTGTCTCTCCTTCCTTGGTAATAAAGAAACAATGAGCTGTTTCCCTAATCACAAATTTGAGCTAAACCAGCCAAATCCATTGAGTCTGAATAAATAAATATGAATAATGAAATAAAGGCTGCCCAACGTTTGCATTAAATCACTACAAGGGCAGTATCAGCCTTAACAGACCATGCTGAACAAAGACAAAATCATGACAGAGAGAAGGGCTCAGCTTGAGCTGTCTCAGTGAGGGCAACTGCTCAAGATGCTTCCCTTTACACTTGCCTCCACCTGCCTAGCGTTTCTGTGCTGCAGTGGGAGACAATAATAGTTTCTTGGGTATCTCTAGCAGGAATTGCTGCTAGCTTTGCTGACAAAAATAGATTATAAGAAATAGTATTAGCCAGAGTTTCTAATGAAATGGGGGAAGGACGAGCATTTTGTGAGCGTGTTCCTTATTCCTTCCCCCTTCCTTCCTGGCATGACTTTTTACCCCTTTGGCTGGGGTAAAACCAATTCTGACACAGCCACAGTATTAAGATATTCCTATGAGTTTAATGGAAATGGACATCTGAATGGAGAAGGGAGACATCAGAAGTCTCCCATCTGCCCACAAATAGTCTCACATCCTTGTAGACATCTGAACCAGCCTCTCACCTGCTCCCAAGCTATAGGAAAACAGACATCTGTGCTCAATTATTAATGTAACTATTTTTTTTAGTCTATTTTAGATGAGAAAGGAGCTTTAATGATGCCAGACTCCACTCTGGATGAAGGTGGCCATGCAAGAGACTGCTTAGTGGTTCCAGCACCTAGCAAGTGAGATGTGCAGAATAACATTGTCCTGCTTTCCTGAGATAGCACACGTCCTCATCACCGAGGTCCCTGAATGAAAGGCGCTTCATCTTTCGTGACCATAACACTTCCATGAAGTTATTGATATAGGCAAGACGGGTCCAAGTCAGTGCTTGCAAATGAGACCAGTGGGAGGAAATCCCTCTTGATGGGTGTCCTGCTCTCTGATCTGAGTCCAATCACACTAACTACAAAATGCTGGCACCAGTTGTGATGCAGGGTATAACCTAGCTGTCAGAGCAGCATGTTTGAGAGATGAGGTAATTTCCATGCTGGGTGGAAACATTTTCACAGTGGAATTCTTGCATTTCATTAATTAGGAGTTATTTTGCAAAGAAAATGGGTTGGAGGATATCCCTTCTTCATTCTTGGGCGGCGTGGTGTATGTTCAGGGCACCGTGCCTTTTGAAGCAGGAATCTCTCTGCAAAAAGAGGGGCTCAGATGTGTAGCTCTCCCTTTAATCTCCCAGGCTCACTGCAATGGCTGGACAAAGCTAATTTCATGTTTTTTTGCAAGTCCTCTTATATGACAACATTAAAAAAAATATGTTTGTTCTGGAAGAGAAAGCCATGCCATCTACAGAGCAACATTGGAATGATGGGCTTTATACTTCACACCAAGTAAGGAGGATAAAATGAAATAGCAAATAACTTCCCATCTGGTAAAGGAGCCTAACGGGAGAAGGAACCCCTGATAAATACAACTGAGCAGAACCAAGTGAAACAATAGAGCAAAAACTAGTTGAGGCAAAGTCCATAACTTTTCAACTTCAGTGCACTTTTTCAATAACTTTTTTCAGACCCAATATAAGAAGCAAGTGATAATCGTTTGCATCTGGTAATATGAGGACTCTGTGACACAGACTTAGGTCATGTTATACAAAAGAGCATGATAAAGTGCCATTTACTGTCATTTGAGTAGGTGTTTGGGTGTATATTTTTTCTCTCCTCAGAAATCATGATTAAGGCCTCAAATCTACCTAAGATACAGAGTCCGTAACAATACTGACATGCTCATAATTCTTTTATTTGTATGGCTTCTTGCCGTTTTCCATCTCAGTTGCCAGGGGCCCGGTAATACAAGGAAACTATACAGAACAGTGTTTTGACACCAAGATGTGTGATTGGAGAAATCCTGGGAGCGTGGGGTTGTATAAGAAAACTTGAGCACCTCCCACAAAATATATACCTTGGGGAAAACATTTAAGGAAAGAAAAAAAAAAATCCCAGAAAATCAAGTAAGAACTAAAACCAAAGTTAGTTCCATTGTCTAAGCTCTCCCCATCTGACAGCCCCATAGTTATCTCACTTTATCTAGCTTTAACTTTCTTATTCCTCACTCCATCTTCTCTAGGTCTTTCTAGTCCCCAGAAGATGCAACTGAGAGGAACTTCAGAGGAAGAGCTCATTTCCACCAAGGAGGTGGACTGTCTTCTCCAGCTGAGCCTGGTTTCCCATCAGGCTGCCCAGCATCACCTGTGCAACAACAACCTCCTCCTCCTCCTCTTCCTCCTCCCCTCACCCCAGAGCTATCTCCATTTTCAAACTCTGGAAGGAATCCAGGAGACAATAGTTAAACAACCATCACTACCACCAATCTGTCTCCATGGCTAGAATAGAAATATTGCCTAGAAGCTTAGACAGGCAACATATACCTCCCTGAGCAGCCCAGGGCTGACCTATTAAAACATTGGGCTTTAACCCAATGAACTGCAGAGCTTTCCCCCCATCAGAGCATAAATGAGCCTATAGGAAATAGCTGAGGGCAAAGGCTAGGTGGGGAGGTTGTTTTCTTCTCCACCCTCATTAGAGGACCCAGTCTCCCTGCTGTGTGCCCTTGTTCCCTCCTGGCAGTGGAGGAGAGCAGATCCTCCAAGGTTTGTGGTGTATGGGGGTAGGACCCATCTGTGAGTCAGCAGGGAGGGAGGTACCAGTGTCCTCCTCCTCTACCCCATAGAGATGACAGCTGAGCTGAAGAAGACTGAAAATAATGGAAATGTCCTCTCTGTCCAGCAAGGTAAGGGGTGGCATCTTGTCTTGCTGGGGCTCTCTGAAGCATGGGGGTTAATTCAGGCAATGAAGTGGGTGGTTGGACTTTGTGTAGCCTGTAAGAGCAAGTGAAGTGGAAAGCTGTTGATGAGCTGGGTTAAAAGGCACCTTGTTTCTGATGTCTCCTTGCTTATGGATTTGGCTTTTTCCATCCTTTCTTGAGGAATTCTGGATGTCTGTTGTGCTTTTCCTAAGAAATGTATTGCTTGGGGCTGATGAGTGTCAAGGCCCTGCTGTAAAGGGAGGGTGAATGAGTGGGGTTGGATAGGTGACTGAAAAGGGTGTGGTGTAGTAGGCTGATGTAGAGCAAGGAAGAGCACTGGAAAAAAAAGACTATTTTTTTTCCCCCTTGAATATAAGGGCTGGGATGAGCAGTTATCATGAGAAGATAACATACTAAGCTTGCAAGAAACCTGTGTCGTGCATCCCACAACTTGCTTGTACTTCTAGCTAGCATGAAATACTGGCAGAGAGACTAAACCATGAATTGAATAGCAGGAAGCTGAGGTGACTAAAGGATGCATCTCCTCACCCTTGAACAGTGGCAGCTCTAACCACCCTCTTGGCAGGAACTTGTTTGCAGTTGTTCATAGGGGCAGCCAGGAAAGTTCCTTGGGCCTCCTGGGCAGCTGAGCCTTGTGGACAGGGTGATATGTGAGTTGATGCAGTAGAACTTTCCTCTACGGTTAAGTGTGCAGGTATCAGACTAGGAAATAACTTATAACTTAGCAAATTCTTAATGAGCTTCTTGGTGGCCTCAGCTGGAAGGGGGTGAAACTTTGAGTACGAAAGGATCCATGAGGCCTTTGTTAATGAGGATATGGCTACAACCTATGTAATGCTCTGTTGAGTGATGTGACCAAGCTCCTTTAGTCTAGGTTACACCTAGGGTCTAGGTGCTGCAAGGATTGATCCTGTGCAAGGATTACTGTACCACTCAAGGATATCTCTGAATGATCATGGTGGGGCCAAGGGGAGACCTCCTCTGTTGTGCCAGAAGTGACTTATCCTTTACTTTTTCTCTAAGCTGAACCCCAAGGGATCCAGTTGCTTTTACAAAAAAAAAAAAAGGGAGAAAGTGATGTAGATCACCACCAAGTGAGACCTGGTATGCCCAAAAAAAAAAAAAAAAAAAAAAAAAAAAAAAAAAAAATTAAATCAGCTGAAATGGATGAATGTTTCTGGGTGTGTGACTAGATGCTCTAGGGAATACCTCGTCCAGCTCCTAGTCTTGTGTTATCAGCTGTGTGGTGATTTTTTTTCTGCCCCCTTTTCCCCCACATAACAAGGGGTGCTGTGGCTACTGGGTGCTTGTGTAGAAGCTCAGGTGTGCTTCATTAAATCTGATGAATTAGATTCAGCTGGTGACATCAGTTTAGCTGCCTGTCCCCAGCTGAGTATTTCTGCTCCTGTGTTAAGACATATTCTGCATCTTGGCCATCTCAGCCTTTCTGCTGCTCAGGGTTTGAGCCAGGGAAAAGCCATGTGAAAAGGAGGTGATTTTTTTCATGTTCCTGGAGAGTTCCATCTGTCCTTGGGCTTTCTGGTCCTGCTGGGAAGAGCCTATAGGAGGACATGCTCTTTTTCTAGTACACTGGCAGGTCACTTGGGGTTGAGAGGCTTTTTCTCTAAATGGTCCTGGGAGAAAATGAACTTCCCTGTGGTTTAATCTTCAAAGCAATAACCTAATTTGCTGAGCAGCTGTGAGATATGGAACTGACCCAGAATATCAGGTTGTCTCTGTGTTCTGCAGTGAATGGGAGCTGCAGTTCAAAAGCCAAAGCCCCCTGTTATCTCCTATGATGGATGTTATCTCTTGATGACTATCTCCTGTGATGCTGCATGCAGTCCCTGCAGATCAAGTGTGAGCAGCCTGAGTCACATGCGAGCCCCACAGGAGGCTCTGTGGAGCAGGGGAGATGTTTGCCTTTCATAGGTCAATTGGTCAGGACAGAGGAGCTTCCTTCAGGGAAATAGTGGTTGGGAATCTTCTATTTAAGTGTGCTTAGCTGGGCTTTCCCCCNCCCTCCTGAAAAAAACCTTAGTTCAAAGTGTGGTTTTTGATTCTCAACTTCACAGATGTGTTGGCATTTATGAGTGACCTTATCTAGGAAGCTGATCTACTCTAGTGCTTTTTTCCCCTTCTTAAAAGAAGGAGAATGTGTATTTAAAAAACAAAACCTTAAAATAATTCTTACCTTGGCACCTCAAGAAAAGAAGGGCTGTGCACTTGCTTTGTCTATCTGTTCAGTTTTGTGTATTTTTTTTCCTACTCCTTTAGCCTTTGCCTCCAAAAGACCCACTTGCTATTTAAGCTACTGAACAAACCTAACTATACTTGACAGGAATAGATATATCTCGCATCTCTCAAAGGCATTTAGGTCTTACAGTATCCAGGGAGATAAATTATTGCATGCATTTCTGTAACTATTATTTCTTGTGAAAAGAGAGCCTTTAATCCCTGTGCTGGAAGGAAGTTTATCAGCAGAGGGGGAAGGTTGGAGCTGGCTTCTCAATTTCTGTCTGGATTGCGAAGCTAGGAAAGGATTTCCCTGGCAGAGCCAGGAGTGCTGGAAATCCTCTCATCTCTGTTATTGTGTGTTGTGCCTCCACCCCTTTCATCTCAGACTTGGGATTTGTATTTCAGATTGGTCACCAACAGGCCTTGGAGGACTTGGCTGCAGATACCTGCCAAAAAATGCTACTTTACACGTATGTGTGTGTATATATATATTACTTGGCTAAAACCTTGGTCAGAACTGAAAGGAGCTTCTTTGCCAAACCCTCCTTCAGTCCCATAACTTCCTAATATTGAAGTAGAATGGGCTGTTTCAGTTTTCTTCTCCCATAAGAGCATGGGTCAGAAGTAGATGAAGTAGAAAATAAAATAAAGCTGGCATAATGCTTGTGGAGAGATCAAGGTAAGGGTCATGCTGATTTCTTAGTGACAAAACATAGCAGAAAAATGAAATGGTGCAGCATAGGATGAGCTGCAGCTAGCCCAGGGAATCTCCCCCTTTGAGTGGGGGTTGTTATATAATCCCTAAATTGGGGAGAACTGCCGTTGAGTGGAAACACTGTCTGGGAGAGTTCTTATTTTCTCTTGCTGATGTTCTCTTTCATCATACCTGACTCCACATCTGCAGTGTTATCCCCAGTATGACACCTTCACATCAGCTTGTAGGGTGCCTGGGACAGGGTGGCTTGCCCTTGGTGATGAGGAGGAAGCCTGTGGTCTGGGAGCCCTGTGGCCTGCTGGGGTCCAGGTTGGAGGAGAAAGTTCTTGGAAGAACTTTGTTCCTGGGCAAAACCAGCCATATCTAAGTACTTTTTGATAGAGAAGTATCTTGTTAATCTTTTTATCAAAGAAAACAGGAAATTTCCAGGCAGGAACGAGATCCCTTGCCTTGGAAGAAAGGTTGTTCCCTTGCTGGCCATTGTAACCAGCACCTGCTGACCTCTACCAGCTGATGGTGTGGGGATGGAGGGGCTCAGCACTGTGGCTAACAGCACCAATGCTATGTGGGTTCCTCCTCAGAGAGGAAACTATGTGGGAGTGGAAGCCTCCAGCCACATGCCCGGTGTGTGGACAACATGATGTAGTGCTGTTGGGAATTGAGTCTGCTGTGTAAACGCTATGGTGCTGTAGCTTGAGAGGTCTGCTGGAGCCTGAAGAGTCCTCTGCACATCTCCCCCAAGCCCTGGCAAGGGGCTGAGTCATTCTCATGTCTGGGCTTTTCTGATCTCTGTGTGGCTCTTTCTCAAAAGTTCTGTGCAGTTGGAACTAATGGATGTATGTTCCCAGAACAAAAAAAATGACATCAGCCATTCTCATAAACAGAATTAAGGCCAAAGCTTGCAGATGTCACGCACTGGGTTTTTATCTCTGTTTGGCTATAGGAATGCTTCCTTAACAATTTGCAGCTAATGAATAGAACCAAATGCAAAAATCTGCACTGGGTTATAAAGAAATGAATGTGTTTTTAAAAACATAATGCATGTTGACATGGGTGTGTTAAGGCCTGTGACTGTATCCATCTAGGCAAGGGGTATATTAATAACACATGGCCACAGAGTGGTGCATATAAGACCAATTTAAAATAGCCTATAGGTATCCCATGCTGAACATCCTTTCTCAGCATGTGCACAATAGCTTCACTGGCTGCAGCCCTCTTTCTGCAGGCTGCATTTGGGCTGCCTTGCTCTTTTAAGGTGACAACTCCGTGTGTGTCCAAGCCTGTTGGCTGAAGGACTGGTTGGGACCTGCTGTTACCATTGCACAAAGATCTTGATTGCTAGTTTCCTTGTGCAGATCAAATCATGCTCTTTGCTTAAGTTAATTGAAATAAAGATGAAGCTGCTATGTGGCATCTGTCAGCAATCTTGGAAGATGGTAAGGAGGTAACTCATGTGATGGGTGAGACCACTTGAAGCACTTTGTGGATTGTTATGGTTACTGGGAAATACCTTGATTCAGATATTTCCACGCTTTTTCACCAGGCTGGGAGCAGGCAGCTCAGCTTGATGAGTTAAGGAATATCTCCTTTGTCAAGCTAGTGCAAGCTGTCTGGCCAGGCCTTCTGCTTAATTTGTAGCTGGTTCCATGATGATACTTAGGATTTTTTTTGTTACTAGTTTTAACTCTATAGTTCATAGCACAGAACTATACATCCGTATTAAGGGGCTTTCCTACAAGGAGAGGATCTGTTCAACGTTGTCTGAAACTGGAGGAGCTTGACTAAAACAGGAATAAGGAAGGTGAAAGCTCTGAGACTTGAGTATCCTGGCCAGTGAAGTCTTGCTGATGAGTGTGACTTAAGGATCTAACTTGTCAGTTGAGCACTGAGCTGATCTGGGCACCTACCTGTAGGACAGTGTGAGACACCTCATGGCAGAAGGATCTATTTGCTTTTCTGACTTTCCTGTAGGGCAGAAGAAACTGAGGCTTCGTCTTGGCTCAGGGGCTTT